GGCGGAGGGAGCTCGGCGATGCTCCTCCGCCCCGGGGGAGGAGACAGCTTCGGGACGGGGGGCCTCTCGGCTCAGGCCTTGCAGCCGGCTGCGCGAGGGCCGAGCACCCGGCCCGGGAGCTCCCCTGGCCTAGGGAGAGCTCGGACGGCTCCGAGCCCAGCTCCCCGCCCCCCTCCTGTGTGGAGCCTTATATAACACTTTGCAGTGTCATTAGCTTGGGCTCCCGCTGCTCCCCCATGCTGCCTGGCCCTGTCTTCGTTCCCCAAAGGGCTGATACCTCGTCTGCTGCTGCTCCTAAATACAAGCTTGCAGGGGCTGGGGGTCGGTTGCACGGAGGTGGGGCCCCTTCAGCACTTGAACTAGTGAAATCGTCAGGTTCCCAGCTCCAGAGCCCCACTGGGAGCTTCAGTTGTTCCCTCCTCATTATGCTGAGGGCTGCTTTCTCCAGTATCCACAGCGACCTTCTTCTTGTTAGCCAGTAAACTGCTGCTGCTTGCACCTTGAGCCATTTGCTCGTTGGCTGTTTGTGCGCTGAGGTCTCTGCGTTGGAGGGAGCCTTGTGGTTCTGTCTCAGAACCTTAAGATTGGAGACAAAGGAAAAACTACAGAAACACGTACTGTAGGCCATGTACATGGTGGCAGTGCAGGATCGTATATTTTAAGTGACTGAGGAATCCCTTTTATTTCCCTGCTTGCAGAATTACTTTTGCTGTTGCAAGTCCTTTCCTCTGTTCAGACAGTGTAATTTCAGAACACAAGGCCTTGAGACCTCATAGCCCTTAAATATTCACTTTTCCATTGTTACTTAGGTCATGGAAAAAATCACAAAGATGCTGCTTCAGTCAGGGCCACACATCCCATACCTGCAGCTTGTGGCATTTATTACTTTGAAGTGAAGATTGTCAGTAAAGGTAGAGATGGGTAAGTACACTGCTCCAATTTGATTTTACTGGTGGTTACATGCATCTTCTGTGCTCACTCTTGTTTGCTGAATGGGTTAGAAGTTTATTTGACAGCTGATGTTTGTAACAGACAGGTATGTGTTAGTGGGTTATATCTGCATAGTCAACAGGTGGCACACCAGTAATATGTATTGGAATGAGGTGCCCTTATGTAGCTGCTCCCTACATAGTTCTATGTGGGCAATAAGTACTACTCAGGAAGTACTAATCCTTTAAGACAATTTCAATTTCACTGGTGTTTACTTTGTTTCAGTGATGTCTGCTTGGTATTCAGACAGCTGGAAATGGGAGGAGAGGAGGGACCTGAGAGAAGAATATTAGATGTCCTTGTTAGGGAACATATAGGAAACCAGTCCAAGTAACTTCACACAGCATGGAAAAATTCTCTATTTCTAAGGTCTGAAAACAGACAGTCTATAAGCCTAAGAATTTCTTTTCATGATTTTTTTTCATCAAAATGTGTGGAGGCTTTTTTTTTAAATGGTTATGGGGACAGGGTTAGGGTTAGTGAATTGAGGGATCAAGAGGAGCCATTAACTAACAGAGAGTAGCTACTGTGTAAACTACAACTCAAGAGTTAGATCACTAGCTCTGTTCATCAGCCCAGTCAGTCTTCTGAAAGACCAAATTGAGAAGTTAGGACATCTTTGAATTGGTTGAGTGACTATATTGTTTTGATTTGGTTCCTGCTTTTCAGGCTGGCTTGAGGCAGCCTTGATGTTTTGAAATGAAGTGTAAGAAGGTGCTTTTAGATTTGGAGGAGCTGTGAACATTATGTTTTGACTGTCATGCCTTCTGGATGGACAACAAGTAGCAGTAATTGAGCTCTGGAACATTAGCTTCTCTCATCTTGTCCTGAAACTGCTTATGAACAGCCAGGGAAAGGATTATTTAAAATAGAGAAAAAGAGGCCTTTGTAAATGTATGCAGGATCTAGGTGTTTTCTATCATTAGTTGAACAGGTGCTGGCTTATGACAGGCAGCAGTTGTGCAGGCTTGGGAAATCCTAGTGTTGGACACAAAATACAAAAAATTGAGTTCTTCCAGTAGATTTAACTTTTGATATACTGTAGGATACTACCAGCTAACTGCATTTATTCTCTAATCCAGGCGTTTTCATCTAGGGGTACACGTATCCCTGGGGGTACTTTGGAAGGTCCCAGGGGGTATGTGGCAGTGCATTTGAGGAGCCACTGACACTTCGGTTTTGCCGCTGCACAGGGGACCCTTCCCCCCAGCTTGTTGACCCGCTGCTGGGGGACTCCCTGCTTCTTGCCTGGCTGCTGGGGGTACCCCGACCAAAAAAGGTTGAAAGCCTCTGCTCTAATCCATTCTCGTGCAGAGCAACTAGAAGCACAACAAAGGCAGCATATCCTGTCTGGTGCTAGAAGCAGAATATGAACCATGTCACTTTGCAGTATCCACAAATAGGCAGCTCACTGAGTGGTGTTGTTGACTGCTTAGTTTGGCTTCTTTCCAGCCTTCTACTTGATTGTGATCCCTACATAAGGTAATGCTCTGGACGAAAGTCTAAGAGTGTATGAGAGTGAGGGGAGTTCTATATTTTTCCAGGGATGTTGGGAGGAGAGAGGAAGAAATAGTGTGTTTAGCAAGTTTAGCAGTAATATTGCTTCTGATCCTCATGACCTGGCTTGTGTAGATGTTAGCCATAAGGAAACAGATGCATATTTTCTTCATATGTATACCCTATAGCAGTAACTTATAGGATTGTGATGGAAATTAAGGAGCCATCTTTACCAACTCTGTCATCTCAAAGGCTAAGATCCACTAGACCCAGATACCCCACTGGGCTAACACGGTTAATGCACACCAATTTCTGTAGCCGATATTACTCAGAAATGATGTGCCTGGCATCATGTCTGGTTGCCTTTGACACCTGAGCCCAAGTTACCAGGTACCATTGACAGCTGGGGCAAATGGGAGAGGTGCTTTGTCTGAGCCCAGAGTAGGGCTTGAACTTGCTTCCACAGTTGAAGGAAAATGCATTGATTGCTCTTCCACAGTGCTTTGCTACCGACTTGCAGAAATGTAGAAATCAACTTTTGTCATTTCCAGGCTTACAATGCCATCCTACTAGAACAATGCAATGGCATGTCTGCAGTGATCTTGTTCCAAAGTCAAAATCAAGCCTATGCATTTTGGAGGGTTTTTTTTCCTGGTGCTGAAAGAGGGAGAAACTAGACAGCTGCTGGGAGTGCTGAGGCTGAGACATAAAATCATAAAAACATGTACGTTCTGTGTTATGGCTGCCATAGCACTCGCAAAGAAAGCTTCTTATCATAGGCATTGTAGTAACAGGCCCTGTGTTGGAGGTTCTGTAGCACTTACACATGCTGTGTTAACAGTTTTCAATGATCTATTCAGTGTGTAACTTCTCTCAGTTTTGGGACTTTCTTTTGCTCAATTATATGCTGCAGGATCTGGCAACAGTTAGACTGCTACAACCCCTTTAACTTAGAACCTGCTTTTGTAGAATTTGTGTCATCCTTGATGTTTTGTTTCTTATCCTACTGATTTAAGGCTCAGTCTGTTGGCTTATTTGTCAGGCAGATGACTTACTCTGCTGCTGAGTTTGCCAGTGCTTGGGATATTGGGATGCTAATGACTTCTGTTTAAAAAGTGAAAGACCAGAGTTGGGTTGGGTAGAGAGAGGGAGTACTCCAAAATTAGAAGGGGTTAACTTGTATCTCCTGGGATTCTATCTGTAATGTCCTCTAAAGGGCATCAGGAAGGCTTTTTGAAATTGTTTCCAAGCTGTCTGCATCAGATCCAAAGTTTCTACTTTGTAGCTTAATAACTATTCTCCAACTATTTGGGTTGGTCTAATAAAAGATATCAAATTCACCCAAGGAAACTTGTCTGCCTATGTCCTTAGACCAACATGGCTACAACCTAAACCCCTACTTTGTAGCTTGTTGCTCTGAACCTAGAACTGTTTCTTGCTGTATTAACCAGCATTTAGCCTGAAAACTGGGAGAAGACTATTTAATATTGCTTACCCGCTCTGTATTGCTTGATGCTGTGTTGCTTACTTTAACATGTTTTGAAGTGGCTATGTGATCAGCCTTCAAAGGAAGGCTGGAATTGATTAGGTGCTGGTAGAACCAATTTTGCTAAATGTGTGGTGGGGATACCTGAATGTGATAGTGTTCAACATGAAGTAGATAATTTTTTTCTAAATCTGTTCTTTAAACTTCAAGGTATGACATGTGGCATTTTGACAAGGCTCATTGACCAGGCTCAACTGAAATGTTGGCATTTGCCAGTACGTAAGGCAGTTTAATTTTGTGGGTGAAGAAGTAGGGTAGAGACCAAGCCACTATTCTGCAGTCCCCACTGACAGCTCTTTCTGGTTGTAGGAAAATAGCTGGAGGCTCACATTTCTAGCTGTTATTTCATAATGTGGTGTCAAATTTTGCTTTCCTAGAATATAGTTTTATTCTGTGATTTTGAAGTAGGATCAAAGACTGTGCTGTTTTAATGCTTCCATTGTGTAAAGGTTATCTTATGTCAATGGTATATTCCCACAGGGAAGCAGCAAACCTTCTCTTCCTAAATGCCCTTTTCATCAGGACAGTTCTTTTTTCTTGATCCTAGACCCTGAACTGGGGATTCTGGAGTCTGTAAGAGCTACAAATTTGTTATGTACCTTGGTGAACAGCTACAACAAGAATATTGTCTTTACTAACAGAGCAGCATCTCACCACATTGTTTTCTTAGCTGCCCTGCTGTTTAATGCCACTGCTATCTGAAGGTGGTTTTGTGGACCACGTATGCATGGACCTGAAGTCACTTAGCCCACTTGTTGTTCAGCTTCCCTAGGCTGCTTTGTCTGAGCATGGGTAAACGTGGGCTTGTCTCCCAGGTCAAAGTTTCAAAACAAAGTGCAAGATCCAAAGAGCACTGTCTTGCAGGAACTACTTTTCCATGCAAGAGACTTTAGGATTCAGCTATGCTTCTTGGTTTATTCCGTGTGCCTTCCAGGCTTTGGCTCATAACCTCTCTTCTACTGGCTGAAGAAAAATGAATGGGATTCACTTTGGTGCTACTGTTCTTTGATTATTTGGCCAATGCTGGTTCCTCGCTTTGGCCTGGGGAGGGGTATACTGCAACTGCTACTGGCTTCATGTTAAAATATTAAGACTTGAAAAGGAACCAAAGTGCTTTACATGGTACTTCAGATGTACCATAGGACTGCACATTCTCTGTCATGAGTGAAAAGTTTCTCTCCAAGAATTGTGCACCATCTTGTCTCTTAGGTCAGCAGGTTGGTTCACCTACCAAGAGGTCCATTTGTGATTGGGTGCATGGTAGAGTGTCACCAAGTGCATCAGTCCTCTGTATCTCAGAAGAAGTATAAGGGGGGGTAGAATGGGTTGGTTTGCTTTCACAGCTCCTTCTTTCAGAAGCTACCATACTTCTCACTTCTGAGAAGCAGGAGACAATCTGAATTCATTAGCTTTGCACCATGGATATTTTGTTGCATTTGATTCCAGCCCCCCACAAAGATTTACTGGGTCTGAACTTATTGTGACATTGCAGCATACTCAGAGCAGTTAGAATTACTTGAATCCGGATGCATACCAGGGCTGATGCAGTTGAGGAGAGTGGGCAGAAGTATTGGACTATTTTTTGTTCATGACTAGTCCATAGATTGCTTATGATTTTATCAGCCGGTTGTTTGTAATTGTTCAGTCTGTAGTTTTTATAAACATGTTTGGCTTTTAAGAACCGTTTGAAGTCAGTGCTCTTGCTTATATTTCCTGGTTTGTGTAGTGTGATTTGTCACTGAGTCTTACAGCCTGTTTCCTACTAGATCATCTACCTTTTGAATACAGAAACTGTGCCTGAAGGGATCTTCAGAGCATGGAACTTATCAGGGAGCGTGTGGGGGAGTTCTTTGCTGGCTTAGTTTTAGGATGCTTAAGATCCTTCCCA